CCCCCCAAATTGGAAAGTCTACGCCCGCTGCTGACTGTCATCAGATTCTGGTTCTCTTTGGGCTAAATGAGGCATCAGGAGTTCCATTAACAGATCTTCGGCAGCTATTTTCAGGTTTAATAGCAGCCCTGGGAGGGTCCCGACTGAGGTAGTTATCATGGCATATATCTTAATTTCAAGTGGTCCTTAGGGTTGCTATTTGCCCTGTGGCATAAACATACAGGTGCCTATAGAGCAAATGGTAGTTGGGCGGAAGTGAGCACTGAGACTGGTGAAAGAGCATTGATAAAAGTTTTTAAAAAGAAAAGAAAAGAAACCCCTTCTCTGAGGCATCTTCCAATGGTGGCTCTTTGAAGAAAAATCCAGAAGAGATCTAATCTCCAGGACATTTTGAGCTGGCCAAATTCCCCCCACCCACCAACACATCCCTGTTCTGACTTTTTTTGTTTCCTCTAACACTCAACTGCCCTCACCGTTCTATACCTCTCTGGTGGACAATGATAGGGTTGCCAGCCCTAGGTTGGGAAATACCTGGAGATTCAGGGGCAGAGCCTGAGGACGGTGGGGTTTGGGAAGGTGGGGGGACTACAGTGGGGTATAATACCTTAGAGTCCACATTCCAAAGCGACCATTTTCTCCAGGTGAACTGATCTCTATCTCCTGGAGATCAGTTCTAATCACTGGAGGTCTCCAGCCACCACATGGAGGTTGGAACACCTAGGCAATGAGCAAGCTCAGAGATCTTTGGGCCATTCTTTTCAGTGGTGTGTTCCTTTTCTAAATTGCAAAGTTATATTCTTCTTACATACTTGAGGAATCCCCATTTTACTGCCTTACAGGTGAGCATGGGACCATCAATTTCTCTATTAGAAGAGTTTTATGATGTTTCATCAATGTTTTAATGTATTTTAACTTTTAATGTAAGCTGCCCTGAGCCTGCCTGGCAGGGAGGGCAGGATATAAATTGAATTAAATAAATAAATAAGGAGCAATGAACTATAAAGAGTAGAATAAGCAAACGATGAATATGCTGAACTCACAGAAAGTATCTTTGTTGCCCTTTCTTTCTTTCTATAGTCCCCACCCTCTTAGAAAAGGTACACCTGAGGATCAGGGGGCCTTCAGGACAATGTGGATAGTTGGTGCGGTGAAGATTCCTGTACTTTGGAGTTACTTTGCAAGTGGGTCCCAAAAAGTACAGTAAGTTTAGAAGAGGTCCACTTCAAAAAGCTTGTAAACCACTGATCTAAACCACTGATCTAATGGGATTAGATCTATATTTCCTTCTTCGTTGTCCAATTATTTGTTTTGGATGTGTATTCAAAGGGGGGGGAAATAGCTGGTATTCAAAGGGGCCCTATAAAATTGTCTTTTTACTTAATTTTAAACACTGATGATTTTAGAAGGATTGATTTAAATCCAAGATGAATAATACATTTGGGATTTTTAAAAATTCGGCTTTACTCATTTATCGCTTGTTTTAAATTTATACAGCAATGGATTATGTTCTCTACACAAAATAGTAGGCATGAAAAAAACACCGGAGAGTTTGTAGGCACACGTACCACCCTATATATTGGCTCCACATCTTGTAGCACATCTCCATATTTACGACCCAATGGTCTTGCATCAATAACAGGAAACAAAAAGTTTATGCTGGTTGTGTTGAAAATCTCGGGCTCGGGATGTTTTGGTAGCTCTTGAACAGTATCCTGTAAAAAATTTAAATCAGAACATGAAAATCAGAACTTTATTTCTACTTCACCATGGAATCTGGCAATAGAAGATCAGAAGTTATCAGAACAAATGCTTTGCATGTAGAAACTCCTTGGATAATTCTCTGGCATTACTAGTTAAAAGGTTTCAGGGCTGTGAAAGACCTCGGGTGGACACCTCTAAGAGTTGCTGATGGTCAGAATAGATAGTACGGGCCCACCAAGATCAGTGAACTCAATATAAGATACTTCTTTATCTTAGTTAATGGTACTGAATCTCATGACAATTCTGGTTCACTTCAGGGCAGGGCAGGTCTGATGCCTGTCTATATGTATTGATTTCAATATGTACAATGTTGTCTCCAGAGGGCTTGTTTCCTATAGTCAGGGTCAGGGCTATTTTTGGGCCGGAATGCAAAGGAATGGGAGATTGGGTGCACGGGGCCCTTTCCCGCTGGCTCCCTGCACTTAAAGGGAGCCCCTTTAAGTGCATGGAGCCAGAGGTCCCTGCCCGCCCAATCTCCAAATGGAGATTGGTCACGTGGCCCGCAGCCACCCCTCTCCCTCCTCCTCCTCTCTCTCAGGCACGCGCACGCGTGGGGGATCGGGGGTGGGTGGAAG